CAGCCATCACAGCCTCAGCTCTCATCATCTAACAGTTGCCTTTGAGTTTCAGCATGGCGAGCATGAAGTACTTCGTGTTCGTTTTCTTGGCGTTGGAGCTGGCTGCTGCCGTTCGCCCCTCTCACGATCTGCACGAGAAAGCCACAGCAGCCACGGTGTCGTTGCATGCCCAGTCGCATGCAGAGTCGCATTCGTCGCACGCGTCAAAGTCGAAGCTGGCGGAAGAGGAGGAGGGCAAGCCGTGCTGTGGCTGCAAAGTGAAGAGTATTTTGGGCTTTGCCAGGTCCTGTGACGGAACACCTGGTAGATACGGAATGGAGACCTGTGGTGGTGAGAGGGCATCATCATGCGACAACAGTTTCAAAATGTCGGGCGATGAATATTCATGTTGGACAAAGACATCTGGATGTGAGCCGCCCTCTAAATTGCCATAGTATCTTCACCTGAAAGGTACCTGGTATCTTGTGCACATGGCGTTGCAAGAGAATCCGACAGCACCTCCAGTTTCAATGTGAGATCAAAAGTGCCCCGTCCAAGCCCTGCTATGGTGAATCATTTGGCTCGTTGCAGTTGTGGTGATGAGTCTTGAAGCCAGGAGCATAGGATTCAGCGTTGAGACAGAACCAGTCTTTCGGTAACGACATGCTACGACATGTTCGGATTGTCATTTGGCATGATTTGGCAGGTCATTATATTGTTGTATATAGCCCACTGAAAACCAACATAGACCCTGAAAACCACGGGTTGGTTTGTAGAGGAACATCGTCTTTGAGGGTGTCATTCTCAGGGTCCATGCTAGTTTTCGGGAGTGCAGTTTGTGTATATACTAGTAGTTTAGTTGTCCTTGCATCTGTGTTCACTCAGCTGAACTGTCCCTGCCAGGTGAAGTTGTGTTCATCGAATCGACTGTCCCTGGGCCGATCAGTGTGTGCTTCGGCGGTCTCGATCTTCTTTGTTTGGGGCGATTGAGAAGGAACTACGGCCAAAAAAGGTTGTTCCAATTCCTCTACTCTGAATTTCTGAAATTGAGAACCTGTGTTCCAATTCGAATTCCTCTACTCTCCAATTCGACTCTGCGCCCAAAAAAGGGCATAGCGTCATCACATGGCACGTCTAAGCACGTCAGTGACATCCGCCATGCCACGTCATATTTTCGGTATACCACATTCTCTACTAAGCACGAGTCATGCAGACGAGATGGTTTCTTCAGGCCGCACGTCTGCGGCCTTGATGACCGACGTGCGGATCGACGCGTCGGAGGCCGAGCCGGGAACGAGTGAGAACGCAAGTCTCGTCGTCACTTTTCTTCCAGGTGGTGAGGCTTTTCGTTCTCCACGAACGGTGTAATGTGGGCATTGCAATGCCGAGAACTGAGCTTTCAAGTTGACTGACTTGTGCGTGGCGCACAACTTGTCGCTTCCCAGACTCTGAGTAGGGACATGATGCACATGTGCGTGAAAGCTGAGACACGGCTGTTCACGTTAACCACCTCACTGGAGCACACATTCTGGTGTCAAACCTTCCCAGCTTGGAACCTTGCTAGCAAGCTTCTCATCGTCCCGTGGAGAAGCTCAGAATTTCAGGGGTCATCTCCGGCAGAGGAGGGGACGAGATGGATTGGCAAAGTTTTTGGTTTTAAACGCCACTGATGGATGTTGCTTTGATGTGGCATTCGCTGATCTGTTCTGTTGGTCTGAAGCGTTTGGGTGGCGTTTTGGGGGTTGGATCTGCCGGGCTGCCGAGGACCCACGAGGTTTGCGACTGGACGTGCGTCGATGCGGTGATGAGTGCCAAGTGGTGATCGATGCAATGTGGTGAGTGGTGAACTGTGGTGATTTGTGCAACAACTATGGTGTAAGTGGACAGTGCTTTGAAGTGGCATTTTTCATGATTGGACAATTTCTCTGGCCGCAAATGCCATAGACTATCATAGACTGTAGACCTTCTGATTTACCTGTTCGACTAGTCAAGTCCCTTGTTCAAAGCTGTGCAAAAGAAAAAGGGGACCTCCAAAAAGAAACCTCAATTGTTTGAGTTTTCCACATATTTGGCACACATATATTTTTCATAATTGAAGAACAGCGTCCTCATATTTGAGAGTTTGTGAATGACATGTTCAAGAACGTCCACTTTGTTCCTGGCCTTACTACGAACGGAGCAAAGGAAGCTACGAACGTAGCTCCGACCCCGCTCACTGGTCGACCCTTCGTTGGTTCACCAACTTTTCACAGACGCGTCAATCAGACAGGATTCCCAAAAGGGTCGAAGGATTCAATCAGTTTTTTTTCGTTTTAAACTCGCTCTTTTCTAACTTGGGAGTTTCTTCACTCCATTTTCTTTGAGAATGAGTCCTGATGGAATCCTTTGAAGGATCTCAACATCAGTTGAACAGGCGACAATCATGACGGCGCAGCACTTCTTGAAGCCTTGCCAGTGCCTTAAGCCGGCCAGCTTCGAGCTTTGCGTTCATTTCTTTCTGTTAGACTTTGAGGGTTTTGTGGAACAGAACTTCTTTTTTGCGATTTTAACCGGTGCAGAGAAACGCGGAAGCACGTCAAAAACGAAAACACCTGTGGCTCTGTGGTAAGGTTTGTAGAAGCCAAGCCAGAATCAGGAGGCAACATGGCCACCACCATCCATCTTGGCCAGGGTGGCTTGACAGAGAGTTTGGACTAATTAAAAATATGCGCTGCGCAACGCTTGTTCGGCTTGCAACGGAAGTGCTATGCGTCAGGGCAAGACCATGTTTCGTTTTCATGTGCTTGCAAGACAATGTGTTGCTGCAGCTTGTTGTGGGATGACAGGATTACAGCGACGAATCTCAATGATGACAGCGATGTAGCCAGTCTGGCCGAGACTTGACCAAAAGAAGCGATGTCTATGAGGATGACAGGGTGATTGGACAGTTGGAACACCATTGCACAGATGTTCAAGACAGCAATGTCATGCCCGTCTTTGTGGAACTTCCTGGCGTTGGGTCAATTTGGTTGGGTCCAAAGAAGCTTTCATGCCCCGAACACGAAGCTACGAAGGTAGCTCCTGGCATCGCTGCTAGGAACCCGGGGCAAGGACGCCGAACAGAGCAAGGGCGCTACTAGGGGCTCCTGGCATTGCTACTACGATAGATGTTTGCCGACTACTCACTATCTTGTGGAAGCCGCTGGCCGCCGTTTCCTCCCAGCACTCGATCCGAGGAAGACGCCGTTGCCGGCTTGCCGCGACGCTGCTTGTGCGGCTTGCCGGCTTGATGCTGAAGAGCACTGGTCGTGCAGTGAAACAAAGTGCTGCACTGATCTGTCATCCCGACCTGTGAATGATTTTTCAACGTTTTCCTTGGAATGCTTGTGAGGAGGACTTGTAGTGGTAAAGATCCGGCAGTCTTGCGTATTGAGAGGAGCTCTTTCTATGTCAGTGCCTGTTTGTGTTGACTGCCGACATGTAAGCCAGACTGATTTATGACCTTGCTTCGGCACCCCGTGTAGCAACAAGGCCAGGTGCCGGCAGGCCTATTCTTCTGATTTTGGGCTGCAGTTGACATACATTGCCGGACCGTGCCAGACCGCAGACACGAAACACAAGCAACACACGAGGAAGGAGCTCAAGGCTAGGCCCTAGGCATCTCTTTAGGGAACGCAATGAAGACCCAACGCAGTGAAACTTCCCCACGAAGGGCCAAAAAGGCGACAACTAAACCTCTCTTTCGAAGCGGCAGACCTCCCAGCGGGCTCGACGCGGACGCCGCTTACCGCGCGTGGTTTCGGCGCGGCCTTTCGGAGGGCCGAGCACGAGGAGAGTGGGGCCGTGTGGTGGACACCACACGGGCTGATGAGATGTGCCACAAAGCGAATTGATACGCCCGTTGACGTATTCACGTGGATTCGGTCTCTGTTTTTTGGATGATTGGCGCTGGAAAACGGACATCCATGGTGGAAACCATTGCGGAACGGAAAACCGGTGAGCACATCGACAGCGGAATCGGAACGGATGATTTTGCACTTTCAGATCTTTCAGCTCCCTTCGGTCAGCACTTTCAGCTCGCTCTGGATTGCTTTCGAAGAGTGTACAGCTACTATATCTATAATATACTATAATTGCTGTAGACCCACAGGTCTTTATCGTAACGTTTACGAGCACAGCGCCACATAACATAACATGAAAGGACTTGCAATATACAGCAGTTGACACATTGCATTGCAAAAGATCACAAGCATGGCAAGCTACAGGTAGAGTCGAATAGAGTAGACATCACCCATTGACACCAATTCCTGCCGGCGGCCATGGCGTGGAGTCCAATGTGCCTCTACACTTGGCACGCCTTCTGGTTCTTCTGCCACAGTCTCATCGCTTGCCACAGTCTTCCGACCAACATCGCTTGCACCTTTGAATCGACCGATTGGTGCGGCTGGTATTATCCGGGCGGCACTTGGGGGAATGCTCCTATGTATTGGTATCGCCGGTGGGGCTCCACGCCATCGTCCGGTACTGGGCCAAGTGGGGCAAAGGAAGGGTCATACTATCTCTACGTGGAGGCTTCAGGATCGGCCAACAACCCTTACAAGGCTTGGAGTGGGGTGATCCATTCCGGAGTCGTGTTACATGACATGTCTTCTGTGTGATGTGAAGTGACATCATCCTTTTGCGGTCGCCGTCTCGGTCGTCTGTTTTCTCCGGGTGCGTTTGTCTTTTCCGGTCCGGAGGTGGGGTTCCTTTTGGAGTGGTGCGACTGTGCCAGTGACCGGTTGTTTAACTGTCCAATTTAGAAGGTTTATACAGGCATACAGGCATTGCCCAAACCCTGAAGTCTTTCTGGCTATACAGCGCAACTTTTTCAGCGAAGTCGAACTGGCTGTTTAGCTTTGGGTACCACATGTATGGGAGCACCATGGGCGAACTTTCTCTTGAAGGGCGCGACGGCACCACGTACACCACTTTGTGGCGAGTATCTGGCAGTCAAGGATGGGCATGGTTGGATGCGCATGTGATTGTGCCGAGTTCGGTCAATAAATTTCGCTTCGTTGCAAAAACTGGGTATAGCTGGAGCAGTGACATCGCCATTGATGGCCTGGTGGTGCAATTTGGCAGCGATTTGAGACTCGAGACATTTTACTTGTTTGCAGGATTCTAGGGTGTGTATTCGTCTCATATTTGTCAGGCCATCCATAGCCAGCTATCCAAGGAGAAGCATAGACCGCGAAAACTTTATGGTCCTCTCTGGTCCATGTGCATCGACAGGCGGTTGCGTGACGAGCCCCAACCATCCCCACAACTATGGGAACTCTGAATCCTGTGAGATTCTAGCTCCCGAAGAGCCACTCTATTTCACGCAGTTTGCCACCGAAGAAGGCAAGGATGCCTTGACCTTTGGTGGTCAGGCTTATTCTGGATCTGCTGGGCCGCCGCAGGGCGCTACAACTTCAGCAATGATTCTGTGGAGGTCTGACGCAGCTGCCACGGCCAGCGGGTGGAGGGCTTGCACTGCAGATGGATTGAACTTCAGCGGTGTGAGTAACAAGAATTCTGATGTATTTGTTGCGTTTTATGCACCGCGGAGTCTGTCTACTTTCCCCCATAAGGTGCCCATGACTATGATTTGTGAAATCAAGACGTTTGTGACTTCGCGGCCTAAGGACAGGTGGTCTGGACTTTGTGGTTCTTTCTGGTCCATGTGCATCCACCGGCGGTTGCGTGACGAGCCCAAACTATCCCCACAACTATGGGAACTCTGAATCCTGTGAGATTCTGGCTACAAGGAAGCCACTCTATTTCACACAGTTTGCCACGGAGGAAGGCAAGGATGTCTTGACCTTTGGTGGTCAGGCTTATTCTGGATCTGCTGGGCCGCGGCAGGGCGCTACAACTTCAGAGGTGATTCTGTGGAGGTCTGACGCAGCTGCCACGGCCAGCGGGTGGAGGGCTTGCACTGCAGATGAATTGAGCTATAGCTTCATGAGTAGCAAGTATTTTGAGTCATTTTGTGTGGAGATATTTAAGTCTCATTCCATATTTCTCTTCAGTTCTCCCCAATCTTTATGGCCCATTCTTGTTGATTCCCCACATGCTACTGCTAGTGCTACTCCCCAATTCTTTTATAACTGTGCTAGTCCGCGTCCGCTTCCTCCTGCCGCGCCCGCCCTCCTCCCCGCCAACTCACACAGCTCAACTCGTCAACTCGCACTGTGAAATTCTGAGTGACAGTTCTGTGACTGTTTGTCCTGAAAGCACCTGCGAAGTATTTTTTTTGTTTAATCAAAGGACGACTGCCACCTTCAACTGTCCAATCATCGTCATCATCATCATCATCATCATCAGTGTGGAGATACAGGTGATGCAACTGCGACAACACACTCACCTACATTGAAATATAGGTGTTTGGATACAGCTGTGATCAGGTGTGTAGATACAAATTTCAAGACACCTGCACAACTCACCAGATTGACATCTATAACTTCAAGATGGTCGTCAATCTTCAGCACTGAGGCAGCGGCAGGCTGAGATCTCTGCAGTCATATGCGTCGCCAAAGTGTGAACCGGTCGGAAGTGTCTCTACTCTCCCGCTTGCGCGATCCCATGGAACCCGAGAATTGACCGGTGGTGGTTTCGACCATTTTCCGAAGGCCAACCCGACGTGGTGGTAGGGGTTCCATGCGGTCCGAATAGCAGGGGAGTATGTAACTGTCATTGACAATCAAGGTGGAAGTTGCCAACGTGTGTAATGCGTCGTCGTTGAAAGTTGTGACGCCCTTTTTGAGCGCCAAGCAAGTTGGAATTTGCCACAGTGTGTAAGTGGCGTCGAAAATCAAGGTCAAAGTGCGTCACTCTCGTCGAAAATCAGTTTTGCCAACATATTGCAAGCATATGCCAAAGTCGTTTCCACACGAGGGAGCAGAACAGGAGACGTGAACTCTCAACACGTTTTCAATGTCGGTGATGTTTCGCTGGAACATTCACTCATAGTCATAGTCACTTTAGATCTTTTCCTTTTGTCAAGGGGGCTAGCAACACATACTTCCTCTTTTTGACTTGGAACATGTGTGCTTTTTCTATTCTTCATGGCTGCTTAATGCTGTTAAGTGAGCGACGCGGGGTAGAGCAGGGTCAGCTTTTACGCAAAGGCTATCTTATAGATATTTGCCCACCAAGGAAAGGAACACAATGGCAACCTACTACAGATTGAAAACCTAACGTTGCCAAGCAGTGACCGGTCTTCGGTCCTGCAAGCGCAGTGAAGGCAACCAGCAGCGATCGCGTAATCAACATCAAAACATCAGAGTCTCTGCCCTTTTCGGACCTTGGACTAGTTGATCAAAACGCTTCAGACTCGTCACTGAAAAACGTTTCCGTCGCTGCTTCCTGGTTGCAGCAGGGATACTCACTCTTCTTGTTGTCCATAGGAGAACCCTTTTGTCTTCAAGATGATGACGCTATCGCCTCAAAATCATTCACATTAGGCACGGCGCGAAGTGTCCAATCTGAATGTGTCCAATCCGATTGCGTGATATGACCTGGGCAATATACGCACTGGCCTACGCTGAACATCTGGCCCTCGACCCAGGGAGCGATCCATCTGGCCAAAGCTTTCGGCGGTTGCTGAATAGCCAACATCCTGCCCAGAATGGTTTTAATGCACATAGCGATCAAGGCCTGCGCGTGGCATGAGTAGCAGCCTCCAACTTCATGCCATTCAACATCTCCACTGCATGGGAAGCAGCGTCACTGGAGTACATCGCAGCTCGGACATTCTTGTCCATGTGCTCTTGCGTCTTCTCCCAGACCTGGAAGATCCTGGAAGGCAGATGAGCATCTACGATGGGCAGTTACACAGCTGCAAGTTTACAAATACAATTAAATGAAAGACTGACGAGCACTCTGCACTAGAAAGCGATCACGCACAACGCCCTGAAAGTCAAGCCTGGCGATGTAATCACGTGCCAATATTTATACCAAGGTAATGGAGGGTGGGGCACTCATTTGATTTTCGCCAACTAACGCCATAAATGTTGATGGCACTGTCAGCCAAAATTCACAAGCCGAGCAACTCTTCACATGATCTGATGTAATCTCGCTTGTGCGTGGACTTTTTTTGGTCTAGCTGGCACACCAAAAGCTCCAACACAAATGTGTCCGTGTCTCAGCACCTTTACGTTTCTTCCGATGACCGGATTGGCGTTTTGCGGGCCGCCACTTGGCGCACCGGCCAACATGTGCCATGCCAGTTCCGTGTCACTTGTGTTCGCCTCCGCAGCTCCTTGCCTGTTTGCTAAGCCTTTACCCGCATTTGGTACTGCATATCATCACCACCAGCATCACCACCAGCATCATCATCATCATCAACAGCAGCAGCATCACCACCAT